TCTTCAGAAGAATGTGAACAAAGTATAAAGCTGTGGAGAGGTTTGGTGACAATAACCCAAAGCATGAAAAGTGGACCAACCACAGGATGGCTGATAAAGAAAAAAACTAGCGCTAAACAGCGTTTTGGCATTTCCAGCACAGACCTGACCTCAGCCCAGCGGTTCTCAAAGTTTGTCTGGCGCGCCCTACTTTAGATACTGAAAATAGTTCACTCGCCACACATACTAACCCCACAGTATTTTATAAACTATTATCAATAAAAGTAAATTCCAAAATGTTGATTTTGTTCATTTGGTACGTCCAGATCAACAGAACCTTTTGGGATTTCCTTAGCTAGATGATTGAGTATATGTTTGTGGTTAATATTTCCTCTTCACCTCTTTGTGGGTCACATAAGCATCTACAAGACACATCCGATGGAGGTTTTGCTGCTAAAGGAGGTGCAAGTCGCTTTTGCCAGCCTGTTACATGAGTGATTATATAACATATTCAAGGTCTGAATGGAACACTTGGGTTTTTTTGTTTTGTTAATTTAGTCACGTTGTCCATATTTGCACCTTACGGCTAATTGCATTTTAAATAACCAGTGTATAAATACTGGTAATTCAAAATCAGTTGCACTTTTTCTTGCAACTTTATTTAGACAAATAGAAGTATTGGAAGTAAAGATTGGGCTGAACATGTCTGAGGCTATTTTCTGTCATGGTACCTCATCTCAGCCTTACGAAGAAACCACAGACTGAGGTGTTGCTGTTTGGTCACCATTTCCGTGGCAAGCAGACTTCTAGTTTTAGTTTTAGAAGCAGCATTGTCACACCTGCAGCTTAAATCATATCCTGCCAACACCATGACACTGTAACCATCAGTTTAAAACCAGGTTAAAACTTCCTCCCCATTGTCAATGTTGCTTAGTTTGTAAAAAAAAACTACAGAACCAGAGATTATGCACATTCTGATACTTTCAGATCAATGCATGCAATCATACATAAAAGCGACTTTGGGAGATCCTTGATGTTTATCTACTGCTGTCATCGGGTCTGAAATGGGTCATGCAAAAGTATTTTGTTCTTACTGAATGCTTGCATGTTAACACATCTACAAGGCTAAAAATAAACTGCACACGTTAGCTTGTGTTAGTATTCACCTGAAAATACCAGTGTGCAAAGTAAAGCCTTGAAAGCACGGTAGCAGAATTTCATTCAGTTTACATCATAACAAACTATATCTGGTGCTACATTGGGGTAATTTAATGTGCACAGACATGAGGCCACCTTAAAAATGGACCTATAGTGATAATTTCCAGTTCTGTATTTTATTCTCAGACTCTAAAGAAGGCTTCCATGAATCTTTATTAATCTTACAACCGTATGCAAATGTTTAAGTATTATTTAACCTGTTCATGCTTTGGGAAAATTCATATACTTAATGACAAATTGGTATGAATGATTTCTTTCACTTTAATATGCACCCATATAGTAAATGAGGACTTCATAAATTAACTTTCATTATATTGCATATTTACGTGCCTTTGCGATTTACCTGTATGACAGTACATGGCAACAACATACACTTGACAAAAATGCGGGGGCATTAAGAGACTATTTTTTAGGCTTGAGTTAAATGTGTTAAGTGCATTTATACAGCATTATGAAGCATAGAGGTAGCTTCCGGCTCAAAAACATGAAGGTGTGGAAGTGACTTAAACCTGCGTCCCATCTGAAGGCCACTCGATAGCAACAGCTGTGGTTGCAAAAAGACTTTCAGTCCTGTAGAGGTGTGTGGTAAAACAGTGTTCTGACTTGACCTCTGTGAACACTTTATTGGTGAGTTTATGGGCTCAGTCGCTTGTTTTGTTGTCTTTGTCATACATTATTTAAAAATGTAGAATTATCTATGATCATAACATGGTAGCTACAGTCACCTTGTGTACTGTCTATGGCAGGGGTGTCATATATTACGCCCTAAGCTCAAACATAAGACTTACACTTTGCATAGGTTTTACATCTTTGCCTCTTAGTGAAGAGGTCCCCCAGGACCATTCACACTTCACCAATGTAGTTGACTACTATCGAAATTTGTTTTATTATTACAGGACAGTCTGGGCAATTATATATTAAGATATTCCAGGGATTAAATATACCATTACACTTCTTTACACCGAGACTGAATGTAGCCTATACTGTAAAATGAGTTTGACATCCCTGGTCTATGATCTGCTTTGGCTCCTCCTCTTCCTTTAAACCCACCTTTCCTGTCATTGACTTCTT